AAATCTAGCTGCAGCTGCCTCCCACTGCAATTTCCAGTCAAATTTTCTTTACCCAACCACACAAGTGGCTATTCTAACCTCATGGACAGACAGACTTACATGTTCCACTTAGTGATTCTTACTGTCTCAATATTTCTTACATTTTGCAACCATTTACAGATCATCTTGATTATTCTTTATAAGAAAATGAGAAAATCTAAAGAAAGAAAAAAACCCCACTTAATTCACCTCAGGTGTCAAAGTAGTTTTGTAAGACCGGATTGCACAACATGAGCATACATACACTTACAAATCAACTGTGTTGGATTGTGTCCCCCTTCTCCTTTCTCAGGGATGGATATTTATGTTACACAATAATTACAATGAAGACACACCCTTAACCGCAGCCTTACTCTGTAAATATATTTGCACTCAGAAGCTTTTTGTTAGGTTCTTTCACACACTGGGGAAAAAATAAAAAACAAACAAACAATACAAAAACCAAACCAGTGCTGGAATGTAGTACCAGACTCTTCCATTGTTTGTTTTCCTGATTATATACCTACATTGGGGAGCATCCAAACAGGAGTCTTGTCTTTCTTCAAGCTGCCCTCTGCTTTTGGTAGCAAGCCGTCTTTTCACTTCATGCTGAAGATGTTCCAAAACAAACTTCCTATTGCAAAAATCTCTATGAGGTTGATAAACTTGTTTGTTTGTTTCATGCTAGATAAAATTCTGAGAAAAAATTCTAAACAAGATGCCTTAAGTAAATAACCTAAATCATGAGGAAACATATTTACACTGGGTAACGTTTTATTGCAAGGTGGCATGGAATCTTGGAGGCATTCTGTCATCACTCTCTCCAAGCTGTTAAGCTCTCTGCACTGCCTGTTCAGTATGGGACCAACAGAGTATTCAAATCAAACCACACTGACTTGAACAATTTTTTTTATTCTTTTTTCCTTTTTTTTTTTTAATGAACTATGGAAATAGCATAGCTGAACCAATGCCCATCAAAACTTTTATCAAGGTACTACTTACCTACTGTACAGCTGTATCTTAGCAAGACAAATGGGCTAAGACATAGTTTCTGTATCCTGTTGCATCACAATCATGGTTGCTGGTAAAAGGAAGCAAAAATCATAAGGTATCTTCTTACTGGAAAAATAAAATATGCATTTTTAAGTTTTAAAATAAAATGACATTTTAGCTCAGCACTACTAGAAGTTTCTCAAAAATACATATACCAGCATAAAGTAAGGTGCTCTCATTTCTGAATAACCGCTTAGTAACAAAAAGGGAATCTTGGCTAGTTTTCAATAATTTTCAAATATTTGACACTAGATAGAGCACTAGTAGGTAGATTTTTATGTTTTATATGGTAGAAAATACAGCAAAAGACCAGGAGCATTGTGATGTACTGGAGACCTCATTGGCAGCAAATACACTTCCCTTGGTTTGGCTGGGTCTGATGGTGCATGTTATAAATTCAGGTCCTTTTGATTCTGGAATTTTTGGGGTTTTCTTGTTTTTACTGTAGGGTATAAATGCAGTTAAGTGTAGCATGGTGAAAAGAAACTCTGTATGCCAAACCTGCCATTTGATATCAAGTGAATGCCTCCACATTCCAAATGAACCTGTAAACGATTCTATGATTCTGTCTTGCTGCTTTGCATTGATCCAATTTTGCAAGTTTTTATTGTACTGTATGTTAACCGTGAGAGGCTAATACAGATTTCCAAGTAGTTTCATAGGTACTTCCATAATATTTACATTATTCGTAATACTACACATTCTATTAGTTGTAAGGATAAATACTTCAAGACAGTTCAAAGTGCAGATATTTCAGTATTTTTTTCATGTTCATTTGCTTCAGATTTCACCTCTATAAAATCACAATTTTCCCCTATTTGAATTGGAGGTCATGCGAGGCACAATTCTACTGTTTCATTTCACAGAAAATGAAAGAACATCGTAAGGGTTTTTTGCAAGATGACAAATATTGTTGAGTTTGTGTGATGAGTTGCCTAACCACTGCGAGTTAGGGGAAACCCAGATCTGTTTGCCTCCATAGATTTCCTCTTTTCTTTTTTTCTTTTTTTTAAATCTCATCTGCCGAGATACACAATTTTAACAACTTGATACAATTCAGGTAACAGGAATTCACATTCCAATCATTTCTGTGACTGCTAAAAGTGCTCTTGTGCTGTAGTTAGTAGAGAGGCATTTAAGATACCTAGCTAAAGGAATTCTACAGGTCAGCTGTGTCTTGTGCACATACTTCAAAACAAGTCATAAACACATTTCTCATTATCATTCTACCTTAATAGAGGGATATGGGGGGAAAAAGAAACCCCAACAAAACTAAAGGGAAACTAAGTATCGGCAAAAATCATAGGCTTCATGTTCTAAGTTCAGTTTGTTGCATAATCATCTTTTCCAACAAGAGCATCATTTAATCTTTAGCAAAGGAGGAACCACTCCAGTCCGTTTATTTAGGGCATAATTCAGCATGAATCAGTAGGTACATCACAAACAAGTTGTTTTAATAGCCTGGAGAAAGAATGTTCGCGCCAGGTTTTATTAGTACTGAGATTATGGGATATAAAGATTATGAGACAACCTATTCTGAGTGACACAAGAACTATGTAATTTTTAACTCAAACAGTTAACTAAGCATTTTATGTATATTCCTCATAGATTACTAATAATTCGCCAAGGTTAAGCAGAAAAAAAAAATTGGTTCAAAGTCAAATTTCCAGATCAGCCAGTTCATCTAATGAGAAGGTTATGAGACTATATACATGCAACATAGCTACACTTTCAGGAAATTCTGTGAAATTTGTTGTTAAAACTTTCTTTTTACATCTTAGCTGTAAATACCTCAGAGTGTGTTAGGCTGACAGTCAAATTAACTGTGTTTTAAAATCCTAACTAGAGTTTCAAATATATCCATTAAATGTTTAATACATGATAGCTTTAGGATAAAAAGAATTCCAAACCACTAGTAGTTTCCAAAACTGAATGTGAACAAAACTTCCGATAATATTTTCATATGGAAAGAGAGTGTTAGAGGTTTTCTAGATGCTAGAAAAGAAGCAGAAGCACCAGCAAGGTCATAAGACTGCATTCTCATGATTGTTCCTCCTGCGTTTTGCAGATACGAGAAGTCTGAACAGCTCAAATTATGTTTTGAAATATGGGTGCTTATCCAAACTAACCTTAGTTTTTTACCCTTTTGTTGTTTCACCCAGCGGTGTAACCTAAAACAGTCTCCTGGCATAGCAACAAACATTGCACATTCAGGAAATACTGCTCTGGCAAGGTGCAAATTTCTTCACAGTCCTCCATTTGGAGGAGCGTGCATCTCTCCTCCTGCCTCCCTTCCCCATGCAATCTGTTGAGATGAATCCCCACAAACTACAAAATTGCCCCAATTTTTTTTTCTTTTAATTTCAGAATATAGTAACAGGCTTATTATTATTAAGAAAGCCCTGAAAGTTTGTTTGTTTTTCTCCAGCCGTGAGTCTAGCTTCCTCTCCAAGAGTTGAGCTTAACTGCCTTGCTATAGGAAACGGGTGCAAGTTAAAATCATCACTTCACTACCACCACTCAACTGAAACTAAAGATGCTCTTAGAAACTCATTCACCCCTTCCATTAACATCCTCTGCAAAGGCCTGAAGTGCATTAATGGCCACATGAATTCAGTTTTCATCCTGCTTCTTAGAAAGCAGTCCTGGTAAACTCCTGGCAGCTAGATTTTATTGTGAGAATTGTTTATATCTGCAAATTAGTTGTTCCTTGCTTTTATGATATATGCATAGTATCTGTTTACATTACGTAACTGCAAAGGTATATATTCATAACAAGTCATCAGAAGCCTCTGTTTGATGGTAACACCTAATTCCTGTATGTATCCTACCCTCTTTACTGCATTAACCCTTGCAATAACTTTTAGCTATGACAGCCTCTGTACACTTTTAAAACCTCATTACCTTCTATCCAGACATTCAGCGCTTCCCGTGTTTCATGCAGCCAGGCAGTAAAAGGCTGTGTGAGGACCTTACCCGTTTCTAGCTAGTTACATTCACAACTGCTTTTCTCCAGTTCTTTGCCATGAGTTCTAGAATTTGTACTGCATGAAGTACATCGTTGTTTTGGGGAACATGGTTTGTGAAGAAAGAATAAGGAAAATGAACTCTGCGTACTTAAAGCTTGCCTTTTCATTGCCATCTGATTTACTAATTTCATCAGGTGATGCCTACAAACTGACTTTCAGGTGCTCTTTTACTCCATCACACCATCTGTGCATTGGGTGCTAATACATAGTCTATGTCAGTGAACGGGATGATGAACATCTGTATTTTTAACTCTTTTGGGGATAAAGCTATAGCCTTAGGCAGAAGAAAATAACCAAATTATACCTGTTTACCCCATAAGCCAGAATATAGAATGCAAAAGCCCATCCACGGTATAGGTTTTTTTATATATATACATATAAATATTTATATATATGGATTTATATAAGCATATACACATATATATAAATACATATATATGTGTATATTGTATAGTACGTGTGTGTATATACATAAATACACAGCAGTGTGTACATACTACACGCCAAATAATGAAGGGATGTCTACAGAGCAAAAATAGGTATCCATTTCATTATAACTAGTGATGGGTCTGAACCAAAATCCTAGATCCAAACACCATTGCATTTGGAAAGTTTGAACCCGCTTTTTGAGATTTGTGGTTGAGTTTCATCTCTGGTTAGAGCTGCAGTTACTTGTGTATATATGCATTCTGGGGGATGTGTGTGTGTGCGCACATGTGCTTTTTCAGAAGCGCATGCCTGTGTGGGTGACAGAGAATGTGTGTGCCAGTAAGTGTGCACGTGTTTACATATATACTTCCAGCTTTGGTGAACTATAATGTTACCGGTGTCATCTTCACTTGTACAGTTTTATCAGCAGCACATGA